GGCGGCCGCCTGTTAGCTCCCAGCTACTCGGGAGGCCTGAGGCAGCGAGAATTGCGTGTAAACCGGGGAGGCCGGAGTCTTGCCAGTGAGCTGCGATTCCGGTCACTGCACTGCAGCCTGGGCGAACAGAGCCGAGACTCCGTCTCAAAAAAAAGAACAACAACCAAAAAAAAAAAAAAAAAAAAGAGGAAGGCAAAGGAAAGAGCCGCAGGCACGGCTGGCTCAGCCTGTAATCCCAGCCGACTTTGCGCGGAGGTGCGCGCAGACCACGGAGGCTCAGGAGATCGCAGCACCTATCCTAGTTACACGGGTGAAACCCTGTCTGCTACTAAAAAATTAAAAATATAAAAAAATCTAACTTTCTGGGCGAGGTGCAGGCACCGTGCTGAGTCCTAGCCTACTCGGCGAGGCCTGCAGGCAGGGAGAATGGCGCTAAACCCGAGCTGATGGCAGTGCTTTGCCCCAGTGAGCCAAGTCTGGCCATGCTGCACTTCCAGCCTGGCGCCAACAGAGCCGAGACTCTTTTTGGCTTCTCAAAAAAAAAAAAAGGGAAAAAAAAAGAAAAGAAGAAGGGTGATTGCCAGGGCTGGCGGGAAGGGGAGATATGCGCCATGATTGTGGATGGATGGATGCGTTGTACTTTGTTTGCGATGGAAAGTGTCTGTGATGTGGTGTATGCCTGTTTGTCCGTGTATTGTGTCCCCCTACTTTTTAATATATTGTTAATGTTATATTCTCTATCCTCTCCCCCTGATAAACTGGCACTAATAAATATCAGGGTATATAAACGTGTTCGCTCCATATAGGTATTGTTTTAAATTTTATGTATTTATCACCTTTTAGGAAATAATAATTATAAATATAGTGGCTGTTTGGCCTCATCCGGGTAGTGTGTTATTTCTCGTTAATCCCATGCTATTTGTGGTTTGTAGTGCCTTATGTGTCGGCATCATTCCCACGATTTGTTTGTGTGCCAGGAGAGTTGAGACATCCTGTGCTTATACCTTATCTCCTCTGTGTGTATTATCTCGCTCGTGGCGTTCGTTATCTCTCTCTTATCTCTATATATATATAATCCTATAAATTTTAGTCGGAGCGTGGTTTTTTTTTTTTGGCTCGTCTGAAGGTCCTGTTAGTCCTCAGCTACTGGATTGCGCTGAGCTAAGGTGTAATATTATGGCGTTGATACTGGAGGTGGAGCTTGCACGTTGTAAGCTATTTGGAGAAGGGCGCCACTGCACTTCCAGCCTGGTGGCAACTGAGAAGCAACTTAGCCCGTGCAAAAAATAAAAAAAAAAAATAAAAAAAAATTAGCTGCATGGTGTCTCGAGCCCTGTTAGCCAGTCCTACTCTGGGCTGATTGCAAAAAAGAATGCTTGACCTGCCGGAGGGGAGGTTGCCAGTGAGCCAAGCACACGCCATTGCACTCATAGCCTGGGCCGACAGCAGCCGGAGACTCCGGTCTTTTTTTTTTTTTTTTTTTTTTTTTTGTTTTTTTTTTTTTTGAGACAGAGTCTCGCCGTGTAGTCGCCCTCAGGCTGCGAGTGCAGTGGCGCGATCTCGGCTCACGCAAGCCCTTCCTGTTCTCTCCTCTGGTCCCACATCATTCTCTCTGCTCAGCCTCGCCCGAGTAGCTGGCGACTACAGGCGCCCGCCCCCGCCTCGCGCCAGCTCAATTTTTGCATTTTTAGTAAGAGACGCAGTTTCACCGGATTAGCCAGGCATGGTCCTTGATCTCATCGATATACCTTCGTGATCTGCTCGTCTTTCGGCTCCATATATTAGTGCTTTGTGTTTTTGGTTACAAGGCGTTGAGCCACCGCGCATTCCGTGTCCCTCCTCTGGGAGACTCTCTTTGTTTCTTATTATATAATAAAAATTAATTAATTAAAAAATTAATTTATATTAAATAAAATAAAAGCGGTGCGCGGGTGTCTCATGGCCTGTAATCCCGTAGTTTGGTTCTGATGGCCGAGGCAGGCGGATTCACCTGAGGTCAGGAGTTGGAGACCAGCTCTACCTAATACAGAGAGTAGTTTGGGAGGCCGAGGCAGGCGGATCACCTGAGGTCAGGAGTTGGAGACCAGCCTGACCAATACAGAGAAATCCAGTTTTTACTAAAAATACACAATCAGTTGGGCATGGTGGCACAGGCCTGTAATCTGAGCTACTCAGGAAGTTGAGGCAGGAGAATTGCTTGAACCCCGGAGGCAGAGGTAGCAGTGAGCTGAGATCGCACCATTGCACTCTAGCCTAGGCGACAGAGCGAGACTCTGTCTCAAAAAAAAGAGGTCAGGCGCGGTTGCTCACGCCTGTAATCCCAGCACTTTGGAAGGCCGAGGCGGGCAGATCACAAGGTCAGGAGATCGAGACCATCCTGGCTAATGCAGTGAAACCCTGTCTCTACTAAAAATACAAAAAAGTAGCCGGGCGTGGTGGCAGGCACCTGTAGTCCCAGCTACTTGGGAGGCTGAGGCAGGAGAATTGCTTGAACCTGGGAGGTGGAGGCTGCAGTGAGCCGAGATTGTGCAACTGCACTGCACCCTGGACGACAGAGTCAAACTGCCTCAAAAAAAAAAGAAAAGAAAAGAAAAGAAAAGAAAGAAGGGTGACTGCCAGGGCTGGGGAGGGGAGAATGCGCAGGAGTGTTTTACGGGGATGGAGCTTTACTTTGTTTGGATGGAAAAGTTCTGGAGGTGGACGAAGATGAGGTTGCACAATAATGTAAATACACTTAATGGCCCTGACCTGTGTACTTAAAATCAGATAAAAAGGCAAAGTTTGTTATATTTTATCACAGTAAAAAAAAAAAAACAGGCCGGGCACGGTGGCTCATGCCTGTAATCCCAGCACTTTGGGAGGCCGAGGCGGGCAAAACACCTGAGGTCAGGAGATCGAGACCAGCCTGGCCAACATGGCGAAACCCTGTCTCTACTAAAAATACAAAAACTAGCCAGGCATAGTGGCTCGTGCCTGCAGTACTCGGGAGGCTGAGACAAGAGAATTTCTTTTTTTTTTTTTTTTTGAGACGGAGTCTCGCTCTGTCGCCCGGGCTGGAGTACAGTGGCTGAATCTCAGCTCACTGCAAGCTCCGCCTCCCGGGTTTATGCCATTCTCCTGCCTCAGCCTCCCAAGTAGCTGGGACTACAGGCGCCCGCCAACTCACCCAGCTAGTTTTTTGTATTTTTTAGTAGAGATGGGGTTTCACCGTGTTAGCCAGGATGGTCTCGATCTCCTGACCTCGTGATCCACCCGTCTTGGCCTCCCAAAGTGCTGGGATTACAGGCTTGAGCCACCGCGCCCGGCCAAGAGAATTTCTTTAACCTGGGAGGCGGAGGTTGCAGTGAGCCGAGATCATGCCATTGCATTCTAGCCTGGGTGACAGAGTAAGACTCTGTCTCAAAAAAAATAAAAATAAAGAAAAATAAAAAGTAAAATAAAAAAAATTGCAGGCTGGGCGTGGTGGCTTGTGCCTGTAATCCCAGCACTTTCAGAGGTGAGACAGGCGATCACCTGAGGCCAGGAGTTGGAGACCAGCCTGACCAACATGGAGAAACTGTCTTTACTGAAAGTACACTATTAGCCGGGCATGGTGGCACACCCCTGTAATCCCAGCTACTCAGGAGGCTGAGGCAGGAGAATTGCTTGAACTCGGGAGGTGGAGGTTGCAGTTAGCCGAGATGGTGCCACTGCACTCCAGCCTGGGCAACAGAAAGTGACTCCTCAAAAAAAAAAAGATCAAAATGACCCAGGCCATCTGCTCGGCTTGCCACACACGTTTCTGGGTGCTGGTCCTCCCTCGAAGCACCCTGCACCCACGTGTGCCTGTCAAGGACACTGAGGCCCCACGGCCCGACTCGACAGTACCCTTCCTCAGCTCCCTCCGGGTGCCCTGGATCCTGCTGTCCTGGGGGCTCTTCTCTGACTCCTTGGTCAGTCTCTTCCCACTTCCCAGAGCAGTGCCCTTGGCCAGTCCTCTGGCTTCTTGGTGGGATTCAGCCTCCCTCTCCAGCCACTGAAGTTGTCATCCTGCTTGATGGCCCCCCTTGGCCGTCTGAGAGACAGCCCCCACACAGCCCGTGCAGAGCCCACCTGCCTCCTCCATGCCCTCTTGCTCAACGTCCCAAGCCCCCGCAGAATACCACGCGACTCGATTTTCACCATCTTCCTTTCTCTACACACCTCATTCCATCAGCTCTACATGCCACAGATGGCAAGAGATCCTGGTATTCTCAGCCGCTAAGAAAGAAAAACGCTACAGTGACACCCTGGCACATCCCTTGTCCTGACAGCAGAGTTGCTAAGATGTGGAACGTGGCTCTTGGAACCCAGAAGTGTGGTGTGTGCTGCTTTCCCTGGGGGCAGCGGCTGGCGCACGGCACACGCTGTGAACAGACGGTGTCCACCACCCACTGCCTCCCCACCAGGCCCGGCCTTGACTCGGGCTCTGCTGAGGCACTTGGGGAGAGGCCCTGGTGGTGGGCTTGACAAACTCCACCCGATGAGTCACTGGCTGGAGCTGCAGTAAGTCAGGAGTCCTGGGCCAGGGTGCAGTCACCAGAGACGAGAGGTGGGTGTGGAGCAGCTGACAGCACGAAGCGCACCGCCTCTGAGCCCAGCCTGGCCGGGTGCGCTGGGACCTGATTGCACTCAGAAGACCTGGTGCTGCCCTGGGCTTCAGTGAGGAGTGGGGAGGGATGGCAGGCAGCCTCAGCCTCCCCTGTGGCCAGAGTTGAGCCACGCCTGGCCAGGTGGTGGACCTGTTTCCCAGGCCTCGGGGCTGTAGAAGCAGCTCTGCCTCGCACTGCATGCCCAGGCAGAGCCCACCAGGGAAGCAGCTGTCACCGAGTGACGCAGGCCATGAGGGACGCAGTGGCAGGGACAGAGCCAGGGCCGGGCCACCACACACACAGGGCAGGCCCGGTGAGCGGGGATGTGTGCTCAGAGTCCCCGGAGGGTGGAGAGAACACACAGGCAGGCCTTGGGGAGCCGCCCAGGCAGGAGGGTCACAGGAGTATCTTTATTGTGGGGAGGGGCCCGGCTCCCAAAGTCCTGACACCAAAGACAGACACAAGATGGGCAGCTGCAGACAGTGAGTTGTGTGGATGACCAGGGCCTGTGTGGCGGATAGGGGACCAGGAGTCATCGCCTCAGACTCTGCCCTTCCGTGCAGGGGCTGGCGCCACGGGCTCAGGCATGCAGGAAGCGGTTGAAGGCGTTGTAGGCTGACTCCAGGTCGAACAGCATCTGACGCACCTGTGAGTCGTCCAGCTCGTCTGATGCCGACATGCCGCTCAGGGTCTGCAGCCTGGGAGTGCAGCACGGGGCATGTGGGGTGGGCAGAGCCTCAGGGGCACCGCGGGGGCTCTGCCTGGCGGGGAGGGTCTCAGGGGCACCGCGGGGGCTCTGCCTGGCGGGGAGGGTCTCAGGGGCACCGCGGGGGCTCTGCCTGGCAGGGAGGGCCTCAGGGGCACCGCGGGGGCTCTGCCTGGCGGGGAGGGTCTCAGGGGCACCGCGGGGACTCTGCCTGGCGGGGAGGGTCTCAGGGGCACCGCGGGGGCTCTGCCTGGCCGGGAGGGACACCCACCACTGGCTGACCGTCTGGCGACCCTCAAAGTCGGGCGGGAGGTGGCTCATTCGGTGCATGGTCTCCATCAGCTCTCGCAGGTCGGGCTGGATCTGGGACACACAGCGGCTGGGACCCCAACACTGGCTCCATCCCCGCCTGCCTAGGCCCCCTGCCAGCCCAATGCCCTCACCTCATCCATGGCGCGAATCTCCAGGCGCAGCTTGTCCATGATCGTGATGAAGAGCTGGGGGCAGGTGTGCACGTGAGGCTTGCGTGTTCAGGGGTGGGGGTGGCCCCACAGCTCACAGGCCCCAACCCCTTCCCAGCCACAGCTGTCACTAGGCCTCCTCACTGTACTCTGCTCCCAAACCCTGCGGGCCTCCTGAGTGAACGAGGTCCTGGCTGCCCAGACAGCTGCATGGGAACTGGAGGGTGGGCCCACACACTATCTCCCGAGGCCAGGACCCCACCAGAACGCACTGTGCTCATCCCAACAGGAGTCCAGGTGGCCCGGGGGGCCTCCCCGTAGGCTGCCAATCCCTCATCCCTAGTTAAAAGGGTCCCCTTCCGCCCAACAAGTCAGAGTGCTACCCAGCTCTGGTGGTCCAGGACTCTACCCTTGTGCCCAGCTGCAGCGGGCGGCCCCGGCCCTCCTAACCCTGTGAGCCCTGAGGGCTGGGGCGCACCGAGACTACGTCGGCAATGCAGCGGTTGAGGTTGCCCTTGTCGTCCTTGATGGTGATGGGTCGGTCCTCCTTGATCCGCTCCATGGCCAGTGGACAATCCAGCTGTGGGGGGCTGACATGGGTGCTGGGGCTCTCAGGACAGTAAGCCCCAGGTGGCCAGAGCCCTCCGGCACCCCATACCCACGCCCGACAGTCCCCGTCCCATGGGGGTGGAAGGACCAGGCACTCACGCGGAACTTGCGGCAGAACTCGTCAATAGTGCTGATTTCTGAGCCCTGAACCTGCCTGAAGGCAGCTTTGTACTGGACCAGGAGCCGGGAGCAGGCTGCCGTGTACCTAGGGAGAGGTCAGCTGCGGCCCAAGCATGGGACCAGCGTCGCCCAGCTCATCCTGCCCCCTCAGCTGGTCCAGAGGCAGAGCAGCTTCCAAAGAGAGGGCCGGGCAACAGGCAAAGGCAGGCCGAGCAAGGAGGAGGGACTGCTAGCAGCTTTGGGGGGCGAGGCCCTGAGCACGTAGTGGGGCTTGTAGCTCAGCTCCAGGTGGAAGCCCCAGCTCCCCACCCCTGCCCACCCTCTGAACGACAGCAACCAGCTCTCTGTTATGATGGCCCCATCCATAGCTCATGGTCCTGTGTGGCGGCCTGTGAGGGTCTTGTCACTTCATTGCACAAAGCCCCCCAAAACATCCTGAGACATCCCCAAGCCTCCCGACCGTCTTTTAAGGTTGGCTGTGCTGGGGGATAAGGGTGGGGGAGTGGGCCGGATGACACCCCAGGGGCTGCCCCTCTGCCCGCCTCCCTCCCCACCCCCCAGGACTTCCCTGGCTGAGACCCAGGGGCATCCACCTCACGCTGGGTGGGCCCCACACGGGTGGGCACCTCACAGCCTGACAGACGCCTGTTCTTGCTGTCTACGGAGCACCCAGGCCTGGCAGGGCAGGAGCAGGCCTCCAAGGACGTGGGCTCTTACTCGCTGGGGGAGACGCAGTCCTTGATGTAGGCTTTCTCCAGGGCTTGCATTGTTTTCACCACCGCGAACAGCTCTGCCATGTTGTCGTACCTGAGGACACACCTGTCTATCGGGCCCCGGGGTGCCAAGCCCAGAGCACTATCCCCTGCCCGGAGGTGCCACTGTGGGAGCTCTGCCCACCTCTCGCTCCATCCTGGAGTGCCTCAGGAACGGTTCCCCAGCCTGACCCTGTATCCTCCCACCTCTCAGTGTGGGATGGGTCTGGGGGAGGCTGCCCCAGGGCAGCCAGATGCGCACGGGTGTGTTGGGGCAGCCTGGGTGGCTAGACTTACTTCTCCCGCTCCCGGGCATTCTTGTACAACTTCACTTCCTGCCAGAGAGAGCAGGCTCTGTGGGCTGGTGCCAGCAGGGGCTGCAGAGCCCTGGCAAAGCCACACAGGTGTTTGCTGTTGGCCAATGCTGGCCGGGTATGCACCCACCACTCACCTCATACAGCTCTGGCTTGTTCCCAGGGGCTGCAAGAGAAGGCAGAGAGCTGGCAGGCTGGCCCCAAAGGGAACCCAAGGGTAGGCTCCAGTCCCAGCCTCTATTTCAGTTCCTCCCTGAGGCCTCCCAGGCTGGGTCCCAAAGAACCCAGAGGGAGCTGGAGCACAGGGGTTCCAACCTCACCCCATCAGTGTGTGGGGGGACCTGAGGATAACGCCTCTAAGAAGCCGGGGGCCAGCCGGGCGCGGTGGCTCAAGCCTGTAATCCCAGCACTTTGGGAGGCCGAGACGGGCGGATCACGAGGTCAGGAGATCGAGACCATCCTGGCTAACACGGTGAAACCCCGTCTCTACTAAAAAAAATACAAAAAACTAGCCGGGTGAGGTGGCGGGCGCCTGTAGTCCCAGCTACTCGGGAGGCTGAGGCAGGAGAATGGCGTGAACCCGGGAGGCGGAGCTTGCAGTGAGCTGAGATCCGGCCACTGCACTCCAGCCTGGGCGACAGAGCGAGACTCCGTCTCAAAAAAAAAAAAAAAAAAAAAAAAAAAAAAAAAAAGAAGCCGGGGGCCGCATGACAGGCCCAGCTCCCCAGCTCCACTGCGGCTCCCTGGCCGAGTCACCTGCGCAAGTGGCCACGTCCTGCTCGTGACTCATGATGCAGTGCCAACAAGGCTTATCACACACGGCCTGTCCCCTGGGTTTGGTGACACAGGGTGCCCAGGACCCCCACGGTTCTGGCCACACTGAAGCTCATCATGTCTGCCCAGCAGGACCAAGCCAGTTCTGCCTGGAGAAGGTTTCTGGGCCCTCAGTGCTCCTGTGATAAACTGCATCAGCCCCTGGCCACCCCCAAGGCTGTATGAGAGCAGGGTCAGATGCCTCCCCACCCCTGACGCCTAATACCCAATACTGCCCATCAGCCCCTGCAGCAGGGGCTGAAAGCCTGTGCCCTTCCGGCCACACTCACCTCCTATGCCCGGAGTGGCTGGGATCCCGTGAAACATCCTCTAGGCTCTGTGGCGGCCACAGCACTGAGACCTGGGGAGCAGAGCCAGGGCCGACTCAAAGATGGCCCCTAAGCCAGGTGTGGTGGCTCACACCTGTAATCCCAGCACTTTGGGAGGCCAAGACAAGCGGATCACCTGAGGTCAGGAGTTCGAGACCAGCCTGGCCAACATGGTGAAACCCCGTCTCTACTAAAAATACAAAATTAGCTGGGCGTGGTGTCACACACCTGTAATCCCAGCTACTCAGGAGGCTGAGGCAGGAGAATCGCTTGAACCCAGGAGGTGAAGGTTTCAATGAGCCAAGACTGAGCCACTGCATTCCAGCCTGGGAGACAAAGCAAGACCCTGTCTCAAAACAAACAAACAAACAAAAAACAACAAAAAAGACAGCTCCTAAGCGCCAGGTCCTGGAGACCCAGGGCGCCACGAAGAGCTCTCCCGAGCTCAACAGTGGTGAACACACAGGGTGCTATGGGGGCTGCCAGGAAAAACTGAGGTACTGTGGACACTAAGGACAGCGGGGTGGGGGCTGCCTTGGCGTGCGGTCCAAGCTGGAGGTTGAGGGAGCTGATGAGGGAGCTGATGAGGGAGGCAGGCAGCTGTTTGATGGCCGGGGAAGAGAGTTCGGGGCACAGGAACAACAACTCAACAGCTCGCCTTTAAGTCGGCATGAACTTGGAGGAACAAACAAGCTGAGGGTGGAGCTTCTCGAGCGAGGGGGTCCTAGGGCATGAAGACGGAGAGGTGCCTCTAGGTGGGCAGCGAGCTGGGGAGAAAGAATGGAAGCGGAGCCCGTGGGAGGGTCCTGCCTAGTGCGGAAGCTGGGCCAGCTCCAGACTTCTCTCTTTGTAAGTGGAACCGTCAGATCCGCCGAGGGATCTGAGGTAGGATTAAAATAAAGGAGTTACGAACGACAGCCTGTTTCTGGCCCAGCGGGCGGGAGAGTAAGGTAAACTCGGACGGAGAAGGGAGAAGGGAGGGGAGCGGGCCTGGCGGGCAGGCGCAGGCAGCTCTCGGCGGAGAGGCCCGGGAGGGTAGCGCTGAGCCGGCTAACTGCGGGAGCGGACGGTGCTACCGGGGATGGGAGAAGAGCAGAAGGGAGGGAAGCCGGCCCGCGCCGAAGAGCCGGGAAAGAGCAGCGCCGCTCATGTGGGAAGGGAACGTCTGGGTCAAGCTCTCCAAGGGTCGAGGCCATTGCGAGCCGCGGGGTGGGGACCGAGGCTGCTCGGCAGCCGTCACGGAGCCGCCAGGTAGGAGAGGGCCGAGAAGCCAACCGCCCCAACCACGCAGGGGCTTCTGCCCAACAGCGAAAGCGGACGTTCTGCAGCCACGAGCGAATGTGCAAAGCAACCGCGCAGAGTGGACAATGAGCAAGAAAAGCGTTTCTAAAACATGCCCATAACATGACTTTTGGGGCACTAAGCCGAGGCTGTGCCGGGGCCCAGGCGCGCCCCGAGGGTGCCAGGGCCGGGATCGCCTCTCCCCACTCGGCCCCTTCCCCACCCACCGGCCCCGGGTACCTGGACGGCTCGCGGTCCGGGAGATGGCGTCGGGGGCGGGGCGCGCTCGATCAGCTACTCGGCGCTCGCGCCTCACGTCTGCGCCTGCGCACGCCGGGAGCGACCCTCCCCATCGGCAGCTCGGCGCTCAGCCCTCACGCCTGCGCCCGCCCGGGCTTCCGGCCATGCCCCCCAGCGGCGCAGCCCCGGGGACGGGATCGGCGCAGCAGACGCGAAGCCGGGTCTTACGCCGCCCACCCGCCTGCCAGGCAGCCACGGGGAGGGAGGCAGCAGCTTCATTTTTTAACTTAATTAGTTTAGACGGTCTCGCTCTGTCTGTCGTCCAGGCTGGAGTGCGGTGGCGCAGTCTCGGCTCACTGCAAGCTCCGCCTCCCGGGTTCATGCCATTCTCCTGCCTCAGTCTCCCAAGTAGCTGGGACCACAGGCGCTGCCACTGCGCCCGGATAATTTTCTGTATTTTTAGTAGAGACGGGGTTTCACCGTGTTAGCCAGGGTGGTCTCCATCTCCTGACCTCGTGATCCCCCCATCTCGGGCTCCCAAAGTGCTGGGATTACAGGCGTGAACCATCGCGTCCGGCCAGCAGCTTCATTTATTAGGGGCTTCGGTGAGGGTGGGGAAAGGCGGCGCCGGGGTCAGAGGCGCCGGAAGAAGAGCTTGGAGCCGTGGTCCAGCGTGCACTCGCCGGGGCACGGCCGACTGGGCCGCAGCTGGCGCAGGGCGTCCCGGTCCTCGGCGCAGAGGCGTCTGCTGCACAGCTGCAGTTCCCGGAGCTGCGCGGCGATCTTGTCCCACAAGCCCAGGCCCAGGGGACCCTGGATGGCGCAGCCTGCGGAGGGAAGAGGGCAGGCCTCAGCGCTTGCGGGGGCCGGCGGCGTCCCGGTGCCCGCGGCAGGCTCCAGGGAACAAACTCGCTTTCCCTGAGGGACCCAGGGCTGTAGTGAGGGGCAGCGGGCAGAGCCCAGGAGAGGCCCCATGACACTCCAGGAAGGAGTGGGCTCCTCTGCACAGCCAGCGTTGAGGCAGGAGGAAGGTGCCTCTGCCTCTGACGGTGCCCGATCTCGAAGTCCATGCCTACACGTCAGTCTCCACCCATAAAGACATAATGGGGCTGCTTGCAAATCTGTACATGGTGGGCCTGAGTGGCTCGAGGACACTAAGCTCAGGAATTCAGGGAACTGGGTGGAAAGGTACAGATGCCAGGAACCCAAGTGGGGGGAGGGGATCTCCCACCAGCACTCGGGCGCCGTCCTGGAAAAGGCGGTCTGGCCCTCGGGGGTGAAGACGGGGCGCAGGAAGACAGCAGAGCTCCCCCTTGTGCTCTTACATTCACTTACAGCCCTCATCCCCCGGAGGGCAGAGCCTGCCCTGGCCCCAGCTGGGAAGCCAGGTCCCTGGGATTGTCTTCCAGACAGCTCAGGTTGGGGACTGCCCTGATGTGGCTCAAGAGAAAACAAGCTGAATGAGACCACAGCCTGGGCAGGGTTGTGTCGGAGGAGCCCCTGCCAGGAAGTGGGGGGGTCCCTTGGCAGCTTTCAACACCCTGACCTTGGGCTCCCTCTTCCTGCCAGGGACGAGAAAGTCCCTGTGGAAGGGGGCCTTGCCTGCCAGAGTCTAGTCTGAAGGTTGGGTTGGAGACCAGAGGCAGAGACCCACCTCGCCCCCACCCTGTGGTTTTAGGAGCTGGGATCATGCCCCCTTTCTGTCACTGTCTCTCTGCCCCCTGCTGCCCCAGCCTCATGGAGCCCAGCCTTGCTGCCTGGCTGGTAGCAGTGACAGCCCCTTAGGAGGAAGCCCCCGGGTCTCAGGCAGGTCCCTGAAAAGGCCAAACATGGCAGGCATGGCCACCATACCAGCCCTCACCTGACAAGCCAAGGAAGCTAAGGCCTTGGGGCCGCTTTTGGAGGGTAGACAGGAGCTCTTCCAGGCTGACACAGCTGATCTCAGGGTTTGCGGACAGATCGAGCGAGATGAGTGAGGGGCACAGAGAGAGACATCTGAGATAACGTGGGAAGAAGTGCAAAGGTTGGCTTCCAGAGGCCAGTGCCCCAACACTAGGAAAGCTGCCCTGACAAATGCCCAGCTCAGGGAGCCTCGGGCCAGGCCCAGGGGCAGGTGCCCCTCTAGGGCTGGGGGTCCTTCCCAGGGGTCAGGGCCACAGTGGCCAGCTCTGGGTGTGCCTGGCCCAGCTTGGGCTCCTCTCAGCACTCCCTGGAGAGCTGACTGAGGCTCCAGGTGGTAAGAGCAGTGGCCCTCATGTGGGCCGATGCACAGCAGTGACAAGGACACGCCCAGAGGGGCGCTGTCAAGAGCCACAGGCCCAAGCTAAGAAAGAAGCCCGAGGATAGTCTGCCTTCCAGGACAGCCTGAGAGGCTGGTGGAAACTGAAGGAGCCATGTCTCCGGACGCGCTGGGGAGGAAGAGCTGGTACCATTTCTGTGGCCCTTCTCCCGTAGCCCAGCTCCCCTGGGGTCCGGAGCCATGTGATCAGACCCCCAGGCCAGCAGGCAGCAGGGCAGGGGCGTTACCTGCACAGGTCTCTAATGGCCTTGTCCCCCAGGTGGTTTGCAGACAGGGTCAGGTGGGCCAGAGCACAGCCTTCCTGGACATGAGCAGAGCCCCAAGGGGGCCAAACCGAGTGGCGCACCTGCCCTCCCTGCTTCCAGCAGATGCACCCACACCCAGGGGCCCAAAAGGGAGCAGAGTCCCCCATCAATTTGGAGATCGGAAGGAAACACCTCTCCCGATGTGGGTCACACTCTGCACGTGGTGGTGTGAAAATAGGGTCCCAGTTGGGCCTGGAAGACCCCCCAGGAGAGAGTATCAGGGGCCCCTAGTGTGCCCCTTGGGACCTGCCTATGGGTGGGCAAGGCCACCCTGGGTCCCAGGTCCTATCTGGTGGGCAGGAATTCAAAGCTGAGACAAGCAGCTGTACAAAAGCATTCCCCCAGCGGTTTTTTTTTTTTTTTTTTTTTTTTTTTTTTTTTTTTTTTTGAGATGGAGTCTCACTCTGTGGCCCAGGCTGGAGTGCAGTGGCCGGATCTCAGCTCACTGCAAGCTCCGCCTCCCGGGTTCACACCATTCTCCTGACTCAGCCTCCCGAGTAACTGGGACTATAGGCACCCGCCCCCTCGCCCGGCCAGTTTTTTGTATTTTTTAGTAGAGACAGGGTTTCACTGTATTAGCCAGGATGGTCTCAATCTCCTGACCTTGTGATCCACCTGCCTTGGCCTCCCAAAGTGCTGGGATTACAGGCATGAGTCAGTGTGCCCGGCCTGTTTTTTCTTTGCTTTTTTTTTTTTTTTTTTTTTGAGATGGAGTCTCGCTCTGTCGCAGGCTAGAGTGCAATGGCGCGATCTCGGCTCACTGCAATCTCCGCCTCCCGAGTTTAAGCAATTCTCTGCCTCAGCCTCCCGAGTAGCTGGGATTACAGGCACCCACCATCATGCCCGGCTAATTTTTTTATTTTTAGTAGAGACGAGGTTCCACCATGTTGGCCAGGCTGCTTTTGAACTCCTGACCTTGTGATCCACCTGCCTCGGCCTCCTAAAGTGCTGGGATTACAGGCGTGAGCCACCGCGACTGGCCCCCCAGCTGTTTTTTCTAAACCTCCAAACCTCTAACCCTCTCTGTAGAGCCCTTCAGTGAGTTCAGTTGGAATCTGGGGAGAGGTGAGCTCCTCCCAGCTCCCCTGGGACCTTTGGCCTCTGAGGCTCAGTATTTTCTGGGTCCTTCCCCACCTCGTACCTTGGCCAGGTATTGGACTATGGGCTCCATGAGGCCTGAGTCACCCTTGCCGGCTGCCACGGAGCTGAGCTCTAGGTGCAGGAGGGTGCGGGCGGGCAGGCTCTGCAGGGTCCTGGCCAGGGATGGGGCTCCCAAGGCATTGTAGGACAGGCACAGGGTCTTCAGGTGCTCAGCGTCTGCACCAGGGCCAGAATCTGTCAGCCCCATGTGGCCACAGCCCTGTACCCACCCCAAGTTCTGGGCCCAGAACCCTCAGGACCCCTTTGGGGAAACCACTACCACAGTGCTTGTGGGGTGGGGTGGTAAGTGCAGAGGCAAAGGCTCTCGCCCACGTTCTCCCAGCTGGGAGGGTGGGGTCAGACTTCCAAGCTCGGCTGCCCCCCAGTTCTGGACACCTTGCCCTCTCCCACCCCACAACCACACGGTCCTGGGCCACATGCCTCTGCACGGTGGGGTGTCAGGGGAGTGCACTGACCATTGCTGCCCCCCTTACACTCCCCAACCCCTGGATGATACCCAATTCCCAGCCTCTTGGCACTGGGACCCCAGTCTCTGCCGCCTGGGTGGGCTCACAGTGGAACTGCCTCAGTCGAACAGCACTCAGCTGGTAAGCACGGGTCAGGGACCACCAGACATTGAGCTGCCTGGACTCTGCTCGCGGTGTTCCCTGGGAGGGTCAGCCTGGCTGGGTGGGCACCAGATGCCCCTTGGAGGCAGACCCTGTACCCATACATCCATCATCTATTGCTCCCAGGTGCCAGGCCCTCCTGGAGAGTCAGGTCTGGCATCCCAGGCCCCTAGACATTGTTTGTTTTTTTTGAGACAGAATCTTGCTTTGTCGCCTAGGCTGGAGTGCAGTGGCATGATCTCTGCACTCCATGTTGGTCAGGCTGGTCTCGAAATCCCAACCTCAGGTGATTTGCCCGCCTTGGCCTTCCAAACTGCTGGGATTACAGGCGTGAGCTACCGCGCCCAGCCTAGACTTTTTTTCTTAAGGGATGGGGTCTATGTTGGCCAGGCTGTCCTGGAACTCTTGGCTCCAGCGATACTCCCGCCTCAGCCTCCCAAGTAGCTGGGACCACAGGTGTTGCCCCTGTGCCCAGCCCAGGCCCCCTCTGAAGGTCCTCGAAACCCTCAATGCCCCAGGGCTAGGGAATGGACAGGGAGTACCTGGTCAAGCTCACCTTGGAAAGCACTACCCAGTGCTGTCTGGTGGCTCGGGAAGAAGCTGGGGCCAAAGCCACAGGCCTGTAGACGCAGGGTGCTGAGTAAGGGGCAGGTGCGCAGGAGGGAGGCCAGGGCCTGGCCACAGCCGTCCCCCAGGGGGTTCATGCTTAAGTCCAGCTCCTCCAAACTCTGTGGAAGACACAGGCTGGCAGTGAGCCCCCAGCAGCCCCATGGACAGGGTCCCCCTTGGGGCTTGGCTTGGCTGTCTCTTCCCCACCTTGCCTGGCCTAGCCTATCACAGCTGGGCACTGGTTGGCTCTCCTAACTGCCCCAGACCAACCAGGGACCTGCAGAATGGGAACCCTGACACCCCGCTGTTGAGGGCCCACTGCTCCCTGTGCCTCTACCTGCAAGGTGGCTTGGCCTGGGAGCCCCATGGCAAGCTGGCGTAGGCCTTCGGGACCCAGGTGATTGGAGGAGAGGTCGAGGAGGGCCAGGCTGGGCATGGTGCCCAGGGCAGCCACCAGCTCAGCCACACACTTGTCCCCCAGCCGGTTCCCTGCCAGGCGCAGCTCGCGGAGTGCTGTGTGCAGCTTGAGGGCCCGCAGCAGGGGTGTAAGCTGGGCCTGGTGCAGGGCCAGGGAGCAGGCGCTGAATGAGAGGCCCGAGGCCTGGAGCTCCACGGCTTGCAGCACCTGTTGGTGCTCCCCTGTGGGGAGGGATGTGGTGTCACCAGGGCAAAGCCGGCCCTTTCTGCCCTCTGAATCCCAGACAAACCAGGCAGCCCCTTTCCAACAGCCCCAGGGGTCACCCACTGGACATGCTGCAGCGCCCACTCGCACATGCCTGTGGGTCTAGCACTGTGAGGCCGTGGGGGCCGACGTGGGTCTGTAGCACCCTAAGCTCCACCAGTCAGCGCCAGATTCCATGCCCCCTGGGACAAGCTTTCTGGGAAGCTTCTCCAGCAGCTCCCAGCCCACGTGAGGCTCTCCTCCTTGGGCTTGACTTTCCAGGCTTTTGGCTGCTTTTTACCATCTCCCCATCAGCAGCTCATGGGGGCTGAGGGCTGTCCTCTCCCTGCCATCCATACTTCCAAGCGCAGGACACAGCACCCACCAGGCTGGGGGAGGTGTACCCCGAAACACCCGAGGTCCAGGAACGAACTGGGCTGGTGGAGCCTGCGTGCCCAATCCCCTTGCACAGCCTCACCCAGAAACTGCAGCTCTCCTGGCTCTCACCTTGCCCCAGGCTCTGGCAGGCCCTGCGGTAGCGGTCGGTCAACGGAGGCAGGTCCCACGAAGTTACCTCAGCCAACACCTGGAAGGCACTGTCATGAGCCACCTGGGGGCTCCCGGTGCCTAAGGCCCTGGCTCCCGCGGCTCACCTCATCATTGCTCTGCAGCACATCGGGGATGGGGTCCTGTGGGGCCAGCAGGGCCCCCTCTTTCCGTAGGGTGAGCCTGGGCAGCAGCCCACAGGTCTGGTAGTAGCGCTGGGCCGCCTGCTCGGCCAGCCAGGCCACAGAGTGGGTCTCACTGCTGCAGGGACAGAGGCGCTGCTGCTGTTGCCTGCACACAGCTGGGGTGAAGCCCCAGGAACCCGCCATCCCTGCCCAGGGCCAAAAGCCCCCTCAGCTGCTTCTCCCACTCCCAGGGAGCCGGGCCCTCCTCTCCCTGCAGCCCAGCACGCCACCAGCCCCTCTGCCATTCCTGGGAGCCACAGGGTCCTCCAGGAACACACCAGGAAGTCCTCGTCACACTCCCCACCCTGACGTGCAAACATGAGCACCCTGGCATGGAGCTGCACAGGGGGGCTGCAGGGTAGGGCAGGTGATGTCTCACCTGTGTGGGACAGGGATAAGGAAAAGATGATCCTGAACTTGAACTCGAACCCGGATGGGAGGTGGCATGGCCAGACCCTGGCAGGTGAAGGCAGCAGGGCTGAGTCAGGAGCCACAGTGGGCTCCACCCCACACCTGCCTGCCCCAAGTGAGGAGAGGGCTCTGCTCCAGGTCTGCACACCCACCAAGGGCTGGCCTGCCGCAGAGCTGTCCCCACTGGGCTCTGAGACCCTGGTGGTGCTGGGGCTTCCTGGGGGTTCTGAAGACAGGCTGCTGGGCCCTGCCTTGACCGGTGCACTGCAACTCTGCACGCAGGTCAGGCGGACCTGCTTGGCTCGGGCACGGGGCCTGCTCTCCTCACTGTCCGACCCGGAGGTACTACTAGGCCTGCGGCTGTCCCCAGTGCCCTGGGGGCGGGGCCGGCGGCTGCGGGTCAGGGGCGTGTCCAGCTCCAGCCAGTCTCCAGCCAGGCACTCCTCCTCCGGGATGAGCGCTGCCTGGGGGGCAAGGGCTTTGCTCTGGCCCCGCGGTGGGTGAGGCCCCAGCCGGCTCTGAGCACTGCCCACACCCCGGATGGCTGCCTGGTAGGCTGCCCGGCTGTTGCTGGCTGCGGCTGCTTCCCTGTTGCTGGCAGGGCCAGGCGTCCGGGCTGCCACCTGTTGTGCTGTGGCCAAGCACCGAGGCCTCTTCTGGGACAGCCGCGGGGGACCTGTGCTGTCCTCACCTTCCGAACTGCTGCTGCTGGCTGGCCCATGCCTGCTCCTCCGAGGCCTGGCCACGGCTGGTGCTGCCTGCCCTAGGGAGACCCTGGCACGGGCCTGAGAGGCCTCTGGGGGTCTAGTGCTATTAGAGGGGGGTTTTGGGCAGGGGCTCAGAGGAGGAGAGGTCTCAGGGTCAAACAGAAGGCTACTTGGGATGGTGAGGGAGTCCTGGGAGCTGTGGGGATCTGTGGAAGAGAGAATCCGTGTTGAGGCAGGGGCCCGGCACCTCCCATTCCACCTGTGAATGAGCATCTCCCGAAATCAGGGCCCGGGGACTCTCAGGGTAGGCATAGCAACCCTAGGGACACGGGAGGCCCTGCTTGCCTTGGCCTGAGGCGGCTGCCTGGAGCAGCATTTCCATGGCCCTGGCCTTCTGCCGCGTCTCCAGGTCCAGGTCCCTGCGGTACAGCTTCACCCACTGCTGCAGCGTCTCCAGCGGGCTGAGGCCCTGTGTGGTATCAGTTGAACAGGAGCACAGCAGCCCCCATACCCTCACCTTTGCCCTCTGCCCCACCAGGCTCACCTTTCGAGTGCGGAGGGTGACGGACGCCCCCCGTTCAAGCAGCAGCTCAGCCACCTCAAAGTGGCCACAGTTGAGGGCATCATGCAGGGGGGTGATGCCTTCGCAGCCCTGGCCACCTGGGTCGTCCACTGCGGCCCCGTGATCCAGCAGGAAGCGGACAATTTCTACAGACCAGGAGATGTGAGCCCAGCTCCTGATGCCCCCCAAGGACTGACTCTTTGCCCCACATGTCCACCGAGGTGCACCAGGCTCCTGTCCCTTGCTCACCTAGATGCCCGTAGTTGCAGGCCTCGTGCAGAGGCGTCCAGCCACAGTAGTCCCGAGGGTTCAGGGGGTGGCCCTGTGACCAAGGACAGGAAGGAGCCTGGCCCTGTGTACGTCACAGCTTGGCCCCAGTCCCATGAGCTCTGCAGCCTGAGCCGGGCCCAGGGCCTCAGTCTTAGAGCCCAGAGCAAGTCCCGTGGCCCTGCCCTCTCCTCCTCTGGCCCAGCTGTCACCAGTGAAGGACATGCTTCCCCCTGAGACAGGTGGGCCAGCCACAGCACATCCTCCAACCTCTGTGCCTGCCCGGTCCCCTTGTGGGCAGACGGTGCACCCAAATTGCAGGGGCACGAGGCAGGTGGGGTGGGAAGGTGCCCAGGTTTCAGCCCAGGGGCTAGCCCCCATCCTGGCCAGGCTGACCAACTTAGCTGCAACACAGATGCGTACCACACAGCGGGCACTCCATTTTTTTTTTTGAGAGGGAGTCTCACTCTGTTACCCAGGCTGGAGTGCAATGGTGTGGTCTTGGCTCACTGCAACCTCCTGGGTTCAAGCAATTCCCCCACCTCACCCTCCTGAGTAGCTGGGACTACAGGCGTGCATCACCACACTCAGCTAATTTTTGTATTTTTAGTATAGACAGGGTTTCACTATGTTGGCCAGGCTGGTCTCGAGCTCCTGACCTCGTGATCTGCTTACCTCGGCCTCCCAAAGTGCTGGGATTACAGGCATGAACCACTGCGCTCGGCCTGGGCACCACATTTTTTGTGCTTTTTATTTTTGAGACGGAGTCTCGTTCTGTCACCCAGGCTGGAGTGCAGTGGCACAATCTCATCTCACTGCAACCTCCACCTCCTAGGTTCAAGCGATTCTCCTGCCTCAGCCTCCCAAGTAGCTGGGACTACAGGCACACGCCACCACATCCAGCTAATTTTAAAATTTCTTGTAGAGACAAGGTCTTGCCAGGTTGCCCAGGCTGGTCTCGAACTCCTGGGCTCATGTGATCTGCCTGCCCTGCCATCCCAAAGTGCTGGGATTACAGGCTTAAGCCACTCTGCTCAGGCTCTGCTTTTTAAATTTTTTTGAAACAGGGTCTCACTCTGTTGCCCAGGCTGGAGTACAGTGGCATAATCACGACTCACTGCAGCCTCAACCTCCCAGGATCAAGTGATCCTCCTGCCTCTAGGACCACAGGCAAGCGCCACCATGCGAAGGAGCCCCATTTTGAAGATGAGGAGGTTGAGAGAGAGATTTAGGGGATCTGGCACAAACCCACAGCTCCTCCATGCTGGGCAGCCTGTCCCCTGTCCCAGAGCAGGGCCCACCTGCCTCACGAGGTCCTGGACGCGGCGCAGCTGGCCCTCGATGCAGGCTCGGTGCAGCAGCGTCTCCCCCATGTCGTTCCGCCGGTTCCACTGTGGGCACAGCCAAGCCAGCACAGGGCAGGGGCGTGAGGAGCTGGCAGGGCTGCTGAGCAGGGCGAGTGGGGGTAGGGTGCCGTCCTCACCTTGCTCCCCTTCCGCCGGCCCGGGCGGCCCTGCAGCTCCTCATCCTCCTCCAGCTGCAGGGTCAGGCCATCGGCGTCATCCTCTGGAACAGAGCCAAGTCCACCCCAGGTGAGAAGCCCTCACCCCGCTGCAAGCTCCCCAAACTCCCAGGTACAAAGGAGCCAGAGATGGGAGGGCTGAGCTCTGAGGCTGCTGGGCTCCGGGGGCTCCCCAGCAATGGTCCCAGCGCTGCCTCCACGTCTACCTGGCCCTGCTGGGATCCTGCTCCTGCCCGCCATCCCTCTGCCCACTCCAGACACACCCCTGAGCTTTCTGCCCCAACCCACGCCTGGCCCTCCCTCAGAAGAAGGCCTGCCTGAGACCCATCCATCTGTGTGACAGCCGCTCATCCCCACACCCAGACCGGCTTGTGGGCCGGTCTTCCTCCACCCCAGGCCTTCTCCACCCCCGTCTCCTGAGCTGTGTCGTCAGGCCAGGTCAGCCCTGGAGCCTGGGTGTCCTGCACCTTGCAGCCTCCACCCTGCCTAGGTGGCAGACACACCTGCCTCTGTCCCTGCTCTGGGTGACCCCTCGTCACCATGCCCTTCACACACTGCCAGCTTCCCCCGGGTCCTTCCCCAGCTCCTCACTGTGCCCACCAGCTGAGCGGCATTCCCCACAATTCTAGATCCTGATCCACCTCCCCGCAGCAACCAATCTGGTGAGGCCCCAACTTCCCACAGCTGCCTGGCCACTCGGGGTTCTAACAACCCCCTTGAGTTCAGAGCTGAAGTCACAGCCTTTCCTGGAACATCCCCCAACAGACCTCATGGACAGGCTCCTGTCACCCACCAGTCAGTCAGAAATCAGCCCCCAGCTACCCGCTGAGCCTGCTCTCAGCCCTCTCTCCCTGCACCACGGCCAAGGTGGCTTCAGTCCAACCCCCGCTCCAGCCAGTCCCTCAGGCCTGCCCTCCATGCAGCTGATGTCACCGGCCTCTGAAGGAAACCCAAGCCTGCTCTGGAGGGTATCAGGAAGGTGCTCAGCTCTCACAGAGGCACCCGGGGTTCTTCAAAGTGCACTGTCTCACCCCTGGCCCCAGACGGCACGTGTGTCTCTAACGGGACCATGTCCCCACCTGACGCTCACACGGCTCCCAACCACTGTCTCCTCCGGGAGGCGAAGGCCTGCCCCAGGCTCCCTGCAGGTCACCACCTTCTCTGTCCCGTTCCGGGAAAACACGGGCTGTCCTGGCTTGTTCCCGCCACAAGCCCTGAGCCGGCTCCACGGCAGCACAGCACACCCCTCTCCAGCCCGGCCTGGAGCAGGCCCAGGGAAAATGCCAGGTGCCGCCGGCCCTCACCGCTCTCTGAGAGCTCCACCTCACTGGCCTCCAGGGCTTTGCACTCCGCTGTGGCTGCCGCCTCCTCCTCCTCATCTTCATCTTCATCTACAATGAGCTCCTGTAGTCTGGTTTCGGTGCCAGGGGCCTCCTGGGGCTGCAGCCTCAGCTGCACGGTATGGAGGTGCTGCAAGACCTGCCTCTGAGGAGCAGAGGGATGCTTGGCTCAGGACTGAGGGTGTGGCAAGCAGAGCTGGGGGCTGTGGATGCAGAGAAAGATGGGGATGTGGGACAAGGAGCAGGCAGGCTGCAAACGATGCTGGGCTTGTTGGGGAGCCAGTGTGGGTGGGACGGGCTCTTGTACCTGCAGCTGGGGCCGCTGGGCCTGCTGGGCACAGCTGAGCGCCTTCTGGAAGCATGGGGCCAGCAGTTCGTAGGCATCGCCAGCCTCTTCACGGGACAGTGCGATGTTCAGCCAGGTCTTGGCCTCCTGGAGCAGGAGGAAGGACGGGGTCGAGGGCTGCTGCTCTCCGTGTCCAACAGGCCCCAGTCAAGCGTCCCCGGCTGCCCACACAGAATGGGAGCCCGGCCTCCCAGGTGCTGAGGGTTGACGGTCCTAGGAAGGAGCTGCCTGTCCAGTAAGGACGTCTGTCCATGGCCACCCTGAGAACGGCAGTCCTGAGGCAGAGACATGGGTGAACCTGCATTCGGGCGGGGAGCCAGGGTTTCACCTCCAGCATGTTGCCGCTGCGCAGCCTCAGCTCCTCCTCATAGTGGCGCACGGCCCCACGGTGGTCCTTCATGTCTCCCAGTGTGGCGGCCAGGGACACGTGGATGATGGCCCGCTCGGCACCCGGTCTGTCCAGCAGCTCAGCGAAACGTAGCTGGGGGCAGTGCCAGTGAGGCTGGGGCCTGCCACCCTGGCCAGGCCTCGCCAACCTCACTGGCCCTCCCACCCAGCCAGGGCCACACACCTGCTTCTGGTAAGCCTCAGCTGCCCTGGGAAAGTCTCCTGCCTTGGAGAAGAGGTCACCTAGCTGCTCACAGATGGCCATGGCGCCCTGAGGGTCACTTCCCTCGGCATCTTCCAGCTGTTGCTGCAGTCGGACCACCGCCAGCACTGCCAGGAAGAGGTTCATGCAGGAGGGCAACACAGGAGGCCCTGACCCCAGCTCTACCATCTGGCCACTCAGGGTTCTAACGACCCCCTTGAGTTCAGAGCTGAAGTCACAGCCTTCCCTGGAACATCCCCCAACAGGCCTCACGGACAGGCTCCTCGGCCTCTTCCAGCTGTTGCTGCTGAGCCCTGTGGTGGCCCCTCTACCCTCTCCCTCTGCCTGCCTGTTTATGTGGGGGTTAACAGGAGGGTCTATCTTGGGAACTGGTCTCAAGGGTCACAAGAACTCACACACTTAAAAACTCGGGGCCAGGGGCTGGGCGCGGTGGCTCAAGCCTGTAATCCCAGCACTTTGGGAGGCCGAGGTAGGTGGATCACGAGGTCAGGAGATCGAGACTATCCTGGCTAACATGGTGAAACCCCGTCTCTACTAAAAATACAAAAAACTAGCCGGGCGTCGCGTGCGGCGCTGTAGTCTCAGCTACTTGCGGAGGCTGAGGTCGGAGAATGGCGTGGAACCTGGGAGGCGGAGCTTGCAGTGAGCCGAGATCAGCCACTGCACTCCAGCCTGGGAGCACAGCGAGACTACCGCTCAAAAAAAAAAAAAAAAAAAAAAACTCGGCAGGCACAAGTGGCTCACGCCTGTAATCCTAGGTCTTTGGACGGCGGCAGGCCAGATTTGCGATCAGGAGAACAAGACCATCCTGGCTAATACAGTGAAACCCCGTCTCTACTAAAAATACAAAAAAATTAGCCGGCGTGGGTGCGGGCGCCTGTAGTCCCAGCTACCTCGGGAGGCTGAGCAGGAGGAATGGCGTGAACCTGGGAGGCGGAGCTTGCAGCTGAACCGAGATGGCGCCGCCGCACTCCAGCCTGGGCGACAGAGCGAAGACTCCGTCTCAAGAAAAAAAAAAAGGCCGGGCGCGGTGGCTCAAGCCTGTAATCCCAGCACTTTGGGAGGCCGAGACGGGCGGAATCACGAGGTCAGGAGATCAAGACCATCCTGGTTAAACACGTGAAAACCCCGTCTCTACTAAAAATACAACAAACTAGCCGGGCGAGGTGGCGCCGGCCCTGTAGTCCCAGCGTACTACCGGAGGTCGGGCAGGGAAATGCGCGGCAATGACCACCGGGAGGCGGGAGCTTGCAGTGAGCTGAGATCCGGCCACTGCCTCCAGCCGGGCTACAGAGCAAGAACTCCGTCTCAAAAAAAAAAAAAAAAACTTGGATGGTGCCTGGCTCATAGCAAGAGCTGACTGCTGCCAACCTCCAGTGGTGGTCTCGGCCATCAGCACTCCTGGACCACATGCGTGCCACCTGCTATTCCACCCGGGAAGCTAGGGGAGCAACTACTGTCTCCAGTTTGCCAGTGAAGATGGTGGCTGCAAAATAAAAGCCCAACTGGTCTCCTGGCCGCCCTTTCAGTGCCCCTGACACACTGTGTTGAGCTCAGAGAAAAACGGGGGTTTTCTCCTGTCAGGAACTAGGGTACCTGTCCCTCTTGCGGAAGCTGCTGCCTCCAAGGACAGGTGCTCATGCCTCCTCTGTGAGGGAGGGAGCTCTGTACACACCTGGCAGGACTCCACGCCCCCTTGGGCTCGCCCCTGCCCGGGGCCCCACCCTGGCCCCAGGCTCACCATGCGGGAGGTTCACCCCCGTCGCCCCCCCCCCCACACACCCCCTGGGCCCCGCCCCGGCCCCAGGCTCACCATGCTGGAGGTTCTGACAGACGGCTGCTCTCTGCACAGGCTTCTGGGAGCCCAGCCTGTAGGCCTTCTTCAGGGCTCGCTTGGCAGCCAGAAAGTCTCCCAGGTCTTGGAGGACCTGGAGAGCAAAGGACAGCACGGTTTTTGCAAAATCCCCAAGGCCCAAGTCTCCAGGAGCCTGAGCTCGGAACCACACACAGCGGGTACCTGTGCGATGGCCACGCAGCACTCGCTCTCCATGAACCGCTTCCTCATGGTGTGCGCACACTCCCGGGCACCCTCCAAGCAGCGCATAGCCTGGGAGTGCTGGCCCGCGCGCCAGTGGACGGTGCCCAGGTTGTAGCGGGCGCGGAACAGGTCCTCGTAAAGGTGGTTCTGCCTGCAGAGGGGTGATGGCCTGAGCACCCACGAGCTCCTGAGCACCCAGGAGCGTCCCACCGGTGATAGCTGCTGATGCCACACAGGCCCCAGCCCTGCCATGCTATGGTCTCAGGGCCCTAACCATGCCTGGTCTTCGCCCAGTGTGAGGCACAGGTGTGAGAGGTGGGGGATGAGGCCCAGCCAGGGTGCTCTCTCAGGAGGACCCTGGGAGAAATACTCCCCTAACTACTTCCTCCAGGAACGAGGGACTCCACTCTCTCCTGGGGTGGGGTGGGGCCTTACTCCGCAAGGAAGATGCTCTTCCTGAAGTAATCGTTGCACAGGGCTGTCTGCTGCAGGCTCTCAAAGGTAAGACCCAGGTTGAGGTAGAGGCGGGTCCTCATCTCATTCAGCTCTCCCTGAGCCAATGTCCCTGGAAGATGCCCCCCACTCAGCCACTTTCTCCCCACATGGGGTTTCCAGCTTTGGGCCCCATTTGGGGCCTGTGCAGTGCCTCTCCTACCCTCTCCCTCCTCCCGATGTTGGGGCAAGGGTCCTGCTGCAGACAGAGCACAGAGTGGATAAAGAGCCGAGGATCTCCAGGGAAAAGGTTGCGGAGGGCATGCACCCCTCACACAAGAGCCCTGCAAAGGGAGGGCCCCAGAAGACGAGATCGCCCAAGGAGGCTGCGGGGGTGCTGGGCTGCAGCCTCTTCAGCCTGCAGTTCAGGAGGCAGAAAACGAGAAGGGGCCTGCCCACCCTCCAGCTCCTCATCCACAATAGCCAAGCTCTTCTCAAAGGCAGCCTGGGCCTGCAGCAGAGCATCCCTCGACTGGCAGTGGTCATAGATGTCCAGGTGGGTGCGGCCAATGGTGGCCCAGGCCCTCTGCAGCTCCGTGTGGTTGCGCAGGGAATGTGCTAGCTCCAGGTAGTGGTGCTGGTGCTGAGTGTGGAAGGAAGTCACTGCTGTGAGCTGACCCCGCCTCAAGCAAACCAGCGCTGCCAGATTCCCAGAGACCCTGTTCTTGCTAAGGAAAGACTCCTGCTCCCCTTAACCCCCACAGAGCAGGCCAAGGTCGGCCACATGCCCCTCCTCTGCATGCCAAGGGCTCTCTGTGGTGACAGTGGCTTCACGCTGTATGCAGCCAACGCTGTCACGTGGGGAGGGGCGGCTGGGGATTGGTGGGGTGGGGGTTTGCAGTCCTGCCTCCAGCAGCCAGGGTCAGGGAGAGCTTTCGGGCTGGGGCCTGACCACCCCCAACACAAACACAGCTAAAATAACATTCATTAATGGTTTCTGGTGCCAGGAAACCTACTCCTGCCCCAGTCCCAGGAAAGGCTGTGGGGTCCCCACTGGAGGACTGGGCCGGCGCGGTGAAGTTAAGGCTGCGTCAGGCCAGGTGTCCCTTCCAGCCCGAGGCTCCTGACGGCGAAGACCGGGCCTCCCTCCTCAGAAAAGGGCTCCAAACAGAGGCCGACCGGGCTGGGCGAGGCCAGTGAGGGCGCCCGCACCTGCAAGGCAGTCGGGTAGTCCTCCATCTCCGCCAGGCGCTCTCCGATCTTGCGGTGGGCCACGGCACAGCCCAGGGGGTCCTCAGCGCTCTCCCGGAGCCGCAGCTCCTGCCAGTGCTGCTCCAGGGCTTCGGCGTAGCGGCCTAGGCGGGGACACAGCACGGCCTGGCAGGCGTCGCGGGTGCGAGGGCGGACCTGGGGCGGCGTCTGCGGGAAGAGCCCGTCGACCCCCGGCCCCCGACCCCGGCGCGGGCCCCAGTCCCCAGCCCCCGGCCCTGCATCCCGCTTCCTGGTCCCAGCGCTCACCATGGCCGGCCAGGAGCTCCCCCAGCTGGTGGCACAGCGCTGCCTCCTCGCGCCGCTGCCCGGCCCTCTGCGCCTTGGCCTTCGCCTTGCTCAGCTCTGTCGGAGGAAGAGGAGGGCTGAGCCTCCGCGGCGGGGTTCGGGGCCGGGGCCGAGTCCCAGACCCTCCCTAGCCTCCGCGCCCCCGGCGCAAGGGGCCCCCGAGGGACTCACGGCGAAGCTCGCGCTCCAGGCTCATGCTCGGGTCGCCGCGGGATCTGGACTTCCCGCGCTGCGCCGCGGCCCCGCCCCTCGCCGCCGACACGCAGGCCCCGCCCCTCGACGGCGGCGGTGGGCGCGGGGCATGCTGGGAAGTACGGTCCGCCCGCCCGCGACATCCTCGAAGTTCTAGTGTGGGAGGAGCTGGGGCGGGGACGCGGCGACAACTAGGGCGTCGGACCCGAGGAGTTATCTTCCCGGACGCCGGGGTTGGCCCGCGCGTGGAGCCCTCTGCCCTGCCCGGGGAGTGCCTGATGGGGACCCCGTTCCTCCTCGCAGGAGGCGGGGATACGGGAGGCCGGGGTCGCAGCGCGCCCTGGGTGGGCTCTTCTGAACTGCAGCCCGCGTGCCGCCCGCGCCTCTCAAGGTGGACGAGCTGTGCCGCCGCCCCAGTTCCTCCTGAAATTCACACACAACCTGCTCACACGCGCAACTGTGAAAAACGCACGTTAGGGTCCAGATAGAAGACTGACGATAAGTTCACTAGCATTTGGCTGTGGGGACGGAATAAGGTGCGCTCCTCCTCCACAGAACGCAGTGGGTCACATTTGGGGACTCGGCCCCAAGGAATGTTCTGGTAGGGGAATGTGCTTTCCGTAGTGAACAAGTACCGTTTCAGCAACGTATATGTCAGCTGTATTCTCGGAAGAGTCAGTGAACCTGCGCTTAAGCTGCAGAAGTAGCCCGGGCGCACTGGCCCGCACTGTAATCCAGGCGCCTTGGGAGGTGCAGTCAGGAGGATCGCTTGAGCCTAGCAGTTCGAGACCAGCCTGGGCAACCTAGTGAGACCCCCATCTTTTTGTGTGTGTGCGTGTGTGTGTGTGAGTCTCGCTGTGTCGCCCAGGCTGGCGTGCAATGGTGCGATATCAGCTCACCACAACCTCCACCTCCTGAGTTCAAGCGATTCTCCTGCCTCAGCCTTCCAAGTAGCTGGGACTACAGGCATGTGCCAGCATGCCCGGCTAATTTTTGCATTTTTAGTAGAAACGGGGTTTCACCATGCTGGCCAGGCTGGTTTCAAACTCCTGACCTCGTGATCCACCTACCTCGGCCTCCCAAAGTGCTGGTATTACAGGCGTAAGCCAGCACATCCGGCCTGATACCCCATTTTTATTTTAAAAAAAGAAAAGGAGGGAGGGAGGAAAAGAAAGAGAGGAAGAGAGGGCCAGGCGCACTCTTCCTGGGCTCACGCCTGTAATCCCAACACTTTGGGAGGCCAAGGCGGGCGGATCACGAGGTCAGAAGATCAAGACCATCGTGGCTAACACGGTGAAACCCTGTCTCTACTAAAAATACAAAAAATTAGCCGGGCATGGTGGCGGGTGCCTGTAGTCCCAGCCACTCGGGAGGCTGAGGCAGGAGAATGGTGTGAACCTGGGAGACGGAGCTTGCAGTGAGCCGAGATCGCACCACTGCACTCCAGCCTGGGTGGCAGAGCAAGACTTCATCTCAAAAAAAAGGAAGAGAGAGAAAACGACTGCAAAATTATGTCTAGAGTTCTATGATATGGGGCACCCAGGCCTCTAAAATACCCTTGCTGTCCCCCATGACCTTGAGGACCAAATGCCTGCCATGCCTTGGGTCTCTGACTCCCGGCTACACAGCACACCCAGCACTGCACTCCGGTGCGGTGACTGGTTTTCCAGCGGTCCCAGAGGAGGCTGGGTGCACAGAGTCCAACTGAGGAGCCTCAGAAGGAGTGGAAGATAGATGGGTTAATTTCCATCGTAATTACAGCAAGTCGTTGGGCAAAACTCCGCCAGAGAGGTCTGTTGGGGAGAGAGTGGCATGATGCACTGACAGGTCCCTGGGTCCAGTAAAGGCTGCCACCTGGCGTGGCCCCAGGACTGGGCAGATTTGGGCCTCGGTGCCTCCAAGGCACCGAGGGTGGGACTAGGCCAAGCCTGCACACCTGTGCAGGCCAAGGTGCAGGAGGCGGGAAATCCAGGCAGGCCTGGGTGTGAGGACAGGTTGTGGAGGCCTGCACTGCCAACCCCTTACCCATCCAAAGCATGGCTCTGAGCCAAGGCAACTACTTGGCGGGCAAGCTGGTGAGGTGTGCGAGGGGCACAGTGAGGCTCCAGAGAGGGAGTGAAGAGTGAGATTCAGAAGCAGAAGACTCAGGTGAACAGCTGAAGACAGGGTGACTTGGATACCAGAGGGGCTCCCTGAGCTACCTGGACAACGATTAAGTATCCCCTCCAGCCCCAGGGTCCACAGGACAGCCCAGCTCCTGGAAGCCCAATTCCCCTTCAGAGACAATCCAATTTCTCTTGTTGTCTAGGCTTGGGGTACAATGGTGTGATCCGGGCTCACTGCAACCTCCTTCTCTCAGGTTCAAGTGCTTCTCTTGCCTCAGCCTTTTGAGTAGCTGGGATTACAGATGCCCACCACCACGCCCAGCTAATTTTTGTTTTTGTTTTTGTTTTTTGAGATGGAGTCTCACTCTGTCACCCAGGCTGGAGTGCAATGGCAGGACCTCAGCTCACTGCAACCTCCGGCTCCTGGGTTCAAGCGATTCTCCTTGCTTCAGCCTCCTGAATAGCTGGGATTACAGACACCCCTCACCACGCCCAGCTAATTTTTGTATTTTTAGTAGAGATGGGGTTTCATCATGTTGGTCAGTCTGGTCTCAAACTCCTGACCTCAGGTCATCTGCCTGCCTCGGCCTCCCAAAATGCTGGGATTATAGGCGTGACCCACCGTGCCTGGCCTATTTTTATTATTTTTGTAAATGTCTCACTCCGGGCAAATTGAGGGATGTGGTGCTCACCAGGGGGTGGGGGTGAGACGAGGGAGGGAGAAACGTGGGGCCTGGGTTAGGCTATGCCGCCCTACTTCTGCGGAGTCCGGACCCCCACGCCCCCATCCTCCGAGATGACAAAGGAGCAGGTCGGGATGCCAAGATGTCTCAGGGTGTTGAACACAAGCCGTGTGTGCGGCGGCCCCGTCACATGTGGCCCACATTGACAATGCCACGGGAAGCCTGTGTGCCAGTGCCCGGTGGCTGAGGACACACTGTGGTCCTCCCAGGTGCTTGGCTCCCCCAGGTCGTAAGTTTCAGCTGCTGCACATCATGGTCACGGGGCAGATGCCCTGCTGAGGACACTGGGCCGCGTTTGCAGACTTGAGGCACCCACATCTTGAAGGGCCTTGTGTGGACACTGCCCTTACCCTCAGGCCGGCCCCTCCTGTCCTGAACTCCCACAGGACTGGTTGCCCGAGGACTGTGCATGTGGGGCTGCAGGACCTCAACAGCCCCAGGTCTCCTTTCTCCATGTGGCCCCCCAACCTGCAGAGATGTGCTGCCTCCAGGCCCCTGGCATCCCAGCCCAGCTGAACCCATGAAGAACAAGCCTCCCACCTTCCCCACCCCAGAGACATGCCGGGGCCTGTCCCTCCATTGAGTCAGTCTCTCACACACGCACCCAAACAGGTGACAGGGCAAGCCTGCCCCACCCATGCCCCCCACACCATCTTGGACCCAGAAACACTGCCCAAGAGGGTGTCGGGCTTCCAAAGACACGGAGATGCGGAGCCACAGCCCATCCCTCTGTGCCTGTGGGTGGAGCATGGCGGAGGGCAGCCCCAAATCGCAGCCCTGGGGGTGCCCGAGTCAGAGGCAGCTGCTCCCGAGGATGTGCTGGGGGTTGGGTGGGGTCTGTCTTTGTGGACAGCAGAAAACCAACCATGGGGCCTTCCCATGCCCTTGGTGGCCAGGCCACATCAGCTTTGTGGGATATAAGGCTCCGGCAGCGAGGCACTCCCAGCAGGCCACACGCCCTGGCCTGGGAGTAGAAACCCACAGGACTCTCAGAAAAAGCCCAGAAGCTTGCAGCCTGTGAGGGGCAGTGCGGCAGCCCAGGAGGGAAGAGCTGACTGGGAGGGTCATGCTGGGCTGTGCCGTGGTCAGCCGCCCGGATGATGGCACTTGCATTCTGCCCCCCAGCTCCTTCTCTCCATTTCTCAGCCCTCGACCCGTGAGGAGGAAAGCACAGGACAATGCGGGCCAGGCCCCGGCAGCCAGGTGGGGCGGGTGGGGCTGCTGTGAGGCATGTGAATGCACCTGACTGGAGCAGAGGAAACCAGTTCTTTGGTACTGAAGCAACAAAAAGCTGTCAGGGAAGAGCCACATCTCCTAAGCAAAGGTCGGGGAAGCAAGCTGTACCCTTCCCAGTAGCCCTGAGAGTCCCAGGGGAAGAAAGGACCGGGGCTCACTCCTCCAGGCAGGGTTCCTTCCCACCCTGTTAAGCTAGCCCTGCTCAGCCACCACAGGGCATACCAGGCGGCAGCCAGGGTGAGGATGGGAAGGGCCCACCTCCCTCAAGGTGAGAAGCTGGGCTGTCCAACCTCTGACCTCTGAAGCGAGCCTGAATGCAGGGCCAGCAGCAGGACCCCGAGAGCAGCATGGGGGACACCCCTCAGACTCTCACCCAGCCAGGCACCCAAGCACTAACCCAAGCTTTCCGCACAGCCTGGGGACGCTGGGCCCTCAAGGCTGAATCTACAGTAAATAGACTCTTTCTCACTAAAATTGTGTAACTTATCAAAGAGCCTGCAAGGAGTTTAATCTTTTTCCTGGGAAGAGACAATTTCACCCTGCTTTCCGAAAATGTCTGCTGAGCCCTGTGGCTGAGTCCTGTCTCCCTGGGAGTGGCCAGTTGGCCAGGGCAGCCCCGACCCTACCTGGATCTCCCTGCCCAAGCCTCAGTCTCAAGACCCCATGACAGAGTGTAGGGGGAGGCAGTGTCTCTGAGTCTTCCTCGGGGGACGTGTGCGGGCACAGAGATGGGGACGGGGCAGGCTCTGACCCCCAGGCCAAACCAAAGCTCCCACGCTGTCCATTCACAGCCATGCCTTCCCCTCGAACAAAACAGAAAGTACGAAACAAGGCTGCCTTTTAATTGCTATCAGATATTCGGATATCCCGTCTGACGTCAGCAAGGCCCCCGCGCCCGGCCGGAACCCGCAGGGATGGAGCAGCACTGCCGCCTGACTGCACCGAAGGGCTGGGGCAGGGTCGCTGTGCCTCTCGGCCTCCTTGTTGCCACCGT